AGAGAGAGAGAGAGAGAGAGATGAGCGATACAAGTTTGGTTGTCACGTACCTGTGAAGTTGTTGTGCAGTCCCACGAAGAAGAAGATTGTGGCCATAGCCGCGGAGCTTGACCACGGAGTGACGAAGGAGGGAGAGAGAGTGGACAGAGGGAGGAAACCGAGCATGAGAGGGAAGCCATAGCCGAGAAGGAAGAAGAAGAGACGAGCAAAAAAAGAAAAAAAAAAGGAGAAAGAAGACAGCAGGGTGAAGGGAGGCGAGGAAGGTGAAGAGAAGAAGGTAGGTTGGTGAGGGAAAGAGAAGCCAGCAGCCATAGCTGACCAAAGGGTTGACCGGGAGAGTTGACCAGAGCTGTTGACCGGCGTTGACCGGAGTTGACCGGGAGTTGACCTCAGCGTTGACTGGGAGTTGACCTCAGCGTTGACCGGCGTTGACCAAGACTTTGACCAAGCTGGAGTCGGTAAAATCTCGCCAAGCCTTCAGCCTATCCCTCGCCCTATGGATGTGCACATACCCTGTGGTACTTGCTGAGTCCAGTCTATCTGTCTCTTCTTTCTGCATCGAGTCTCTTTTGTCCTAGGTGATAGTACTCTGTGGATGAAGGATAGGGCCTTGTTGACCAAACCCACACGAGCTGAGTAGGGCTAAAAGCTGTGTCTGACGACTCGACTGTCCCGGAGGCCTAGCCCTCCCAAGGACCGGTACTGACCGGCGGGCTGCTCGGTGTGGCACGGTAGGCCCAAAATCCGAGTTGTGGACTGCACAACAGGCCGTCTAAGTCTTGAGAGACCTGCTGATCGCGTCGTCCTGTCTGCGACGCTAAATAATTCCTGAGGAGTTACGGGGGATCTCCTTAAATGCCTCCTGATCAGCAACAGGTCTAGTAGTGACAGCCATTGTATAGGTCTAGGCTAGAGACCCTAGTTGGCAGGATCCCTGTCCGGATTTTGTGAGTCTTAGATCGAGTCAGTAAGTTGTCAGTCGGGGGTTAGAGTCTACGTGGTGAGGGTTGGAACCGCTAATCCGGTTGTGCACTGGTCACCATGGTTGACACCCGGAGTGGGAAGAGCACTAGCCCCTACACCCCGAAACAGCAAGAGAAGATGGCCGCCTTAGTGAGAGAGACCAAAGAGAGGAAAGAGCTCCAGAAACAGGCGAAGCTAAAGACCATCGCAGAGGAGCAAGGGGCGAAGATGAAGAAACTGGAGGAGGAGATGAGGAAAGTCCAGCAGGAGGAGGAAGAGAGGAGAAAGGCTGCCGAAGAGGAAGCAGCAACAGAAGAAGAAAAAGAGAGAAAACGTATTGAAAGCAGAGAGGAGAGTAGTGGCACGAAGAAGGATGAAGATGCAGAGATGGAGAAGAAAATTAGCAGGTGGATAGCTAACTTATCGTTCGGGGAAGATGAGGAGGCGGAGTTCTATGTGCCCCAGGATGAGAGGGATGCGCTAGCCCAGGAGCTAGCAGCAATGGAGGACCCCCTGGAAAGACAAGAAAGAGAGGAGGAGAAAAAGTTGGAGTGGAAGTTGAGGATGAAGAGAGAGAAGAAGAGAAGGAGGGACGAAGTTAACAGGTTGACTGCAGAAGTGGCAAAGGTGAAGGATTGCAGGCAGGAAGTGCAGGCGAAGGCAAATATGTTTGCCAAAATGGATAAGGTGTTTGGATATTTGGAGGTGTTGAGCGCAGCCTGGATGGAAGAGCGCCAGGCCAACAGGAGCCAAGAGGTAGCGTTGAGTGCCATGCAGTCCGGGTTTAGAGAATTTGCGCGCGAGATGGTTACCCACGTTGGAGCAGAAGTTAGGAGATTGAGAAATAACGTGGGGAAGTTTTGTGAGGGCGCTATCGAGAGCGCCAAAGCAGTTGCCGCGGTAGAGAGCGAGGCGAGACCCCGCAAGGACCCAGTCAAGCTTAAGTTCCTAGATGCATATGGTGGGAAAAAGGAGGATAACTTTGATAACTGGGAAGCCAATGTCAACAGTTACGTATATTTACAGCACATCCTTACTGAGGAGCAAGTCCTCGTGGCCTTCCAGGCCCTTAAGGATGAAGCGGCCAGTTTCGCCAGGTCCCTCGCGCGCAGCAGGTTGTGAAAACAACCTGGTTGCATACTCTAAAGTCACCCCCCTTCCTCAATTCTTCAAGCTCCTGAGGGAGCGCTTTGCTGATCCAACAAGAGGCGTTAGAGCCTCTGACAAGCTCCAAACCATCCACTCACGACAGTGGAGGAGTGCCAAGGCACTCAAGGCCGTTATGGACGACCTGGTGGTCGTCCCGGACCATGGGGTGAATGAGTCCCGGTTGGTCCAATTATTTTATCGTGCCATGCCAGAGCCCCTGCGTGGGCACTTCTTTGACAAATCCCAACAGCCCACCACGACGTACGATGCGCTCAGTAGAGAGGTGGTGCAGTTCGAGGCCAAGTCCATGCCAGTTTCCACTTTCTGGCATAAGGACTTAGATAAGGGCAAAAAGTGGAAAGGTCGTACCATCTCTGGTCAAGTCAGGGCCGAGGATCATATGATCCTTACCTTAGAGGGAGGTGGTACCGACGAGGTCCCATACAATCAGATCGAGTGGGGCCTTGAGGATGAGGACACTAGCGTGGGGCAGGGGAGGTCCTATGTTGCTGTTGCGGTTGGAGGGAGGCCGCAGGGTAAAGGAGGAGGCCAGGGCCAAAGGGGCCAGGCCATGAGAGGCCGAGGACCGGGTGCACAGGGGTTTGGCGGACAAGGGAACCGCCAAGTGGGAGGTAGGGGTCAAGGTCCCCCGCCAAATCGCCAGGGTTCCTGTCGGTCCCCACAGCGACGAGGTGGAAGGTCACCTCAAGGAGGATGGCACCCAGGCTTGTCACAGGGCAGGCCTTGGGAAGATTTGGGCTTGGACCAGCACGTATGGCAGGAACGCGTGAACTTGGGTCAGTGCGTATTTTGTGGTGACCGGCCCACGTGATTAAATTTTGTCCGCAGTACAGACAGGCCCAATGGGCTGCTCAGCAGTCAAAAGGCAGCGGCCAGTAGGGGTCGCAATTGCCCCTACTTTAAGGCCATGTGGGGAAGCGAGCGCGCGCAAACAGGAAACCCCCAAACCACATGAGCCTATGGCCGAGGTTGCAGGCCCGTGCCGAGCTAGCTGTCCCAAGACTGCTTGTGTTAGCGTCTCTCTAGGCACGTCCCTCACAGGTGTGGCAGAAGAGCTGAAGGAGAGGATGCTAGCCTGAGCCAAAATGAAGAAAGAGAGCAAGGGAGAACTGATCTTGGTAGATGTAGAAGTGTTTAGAAGTAGAGTAGGGGCCCTTATAGACTCAGGGGCTACCCGCAGTTACATTAGCCATAGGGCGCTGAAGAAGCTGAGGCTAGGATTAAAAGTCCAAAAGTTGGCAGACCCCATAGTCAGTGTCCTTGCAGACAAGCGCACGATGCGAGTTGAAGACTACGTAGAGGGAGTCCAGGCGTACTTTCGCCTAGAGAAAGATGGGAAGGTGGAGAAAGTTCTCCATTCCCTGACTCTCCTCGTTCAGGATGACCTTCCTTTCGACATAGTGTTAGGAATGGATTGGGGAGAGGCAGCAGGGGCCACACTTCATTTGAGAGAGCATGAGTGTACGCTCCCTAGTCCGTCAAGCGAGGTTAAGACTGCCCGCCTGTTTCATGTGTCAGGTGTAGATAACACCTTGGCACATTGTTGTCTCAGTGCTCCCGCGTTCGCACGACTAGTGAAAAAGGAGCAATTAGAGGACCAGGTCTTTGTAGTTTATGTCAGACCTATTACTGAGGCTAAAGAAGAGGTAAGTTCCACAGATTCGACCATTGCCAAGCTGCTGGAGGAGTTCAAAGACTTGACTGAGTCACCGATAGGAGTAGTGCCGCGACCCATCCAACACAGAATAGAGATAGAGCCTGGCAGTAGAACTCCTAAGGGAGCAGTCTACAGGATGTCCCCTAGAGAGTTAGAGGAGCTGCGCAAGCAGTTAGACGAGCTCCTTGAGAAGGGTTGGATCAGGCCCAGTTCGTCTCCTTCTGGAGTACCAGTCCTGCTTGTCCCAAAGAAGGAAGGAGAGCTGCGTATGTGTATAGACTATAGGGGTTTGAATGCGATTACTGTGATGAATGCTGAGCCGCTGCCCAGGATAGACGATCTCTTAGATCGGGTGCAGGGATGTAAGTATTTTTCAAAGATCGATTTGAAGTCCGGATACCATCAAATAGAAGTCCATCCTGATGACCAGTATAAGACTGCGTTCCGGACTCATTATGGGCATTATGAGTTCATAGTGATGCCCTTTGGACTAACCAACTCGCCAACTACATTTCAGCGTTGTATGAACGATCTGTTTAGACCTTGGTTAGATAGATTTGTTGTAGTGTACTTAGATGACATTTTAGTTTTCAGCAAGACCCTCCAGGAGCATCAGGGTCATTTGAGGCAGGTCTTGGAGAAGCTACGAGAGGCTAACTTCAAGATCAACGCAAAGAAGTGTGAGTGGGCCAAGACACAGGTCTTGTACTTGGGCCACGTATTAGACGGAGATGGCATTAAGCCAGAGGACAGCAAGATAGCGACAATTAGAGATTGGCCGACGCCCCGCACATTGACTGAGTTGCAGTGGTTCCTAGGCCTAGCTAACTACTATAGGAAGTTCGTGTGGAACTTCTCTACCATCGCCGCTCCCCTGCGCCAGTTGCTGAAGAAAGAGGCAATCTGGCAATGGGACAAAGATTGTACATCTGCGCTAAAGAAACTGTAGCGCGCATTGATAAAATATCCTGTCCTCAAAGTAGCTGATCCGTCCTTGCCATTTGTTGTCACCACGGACGCAAGCCAGTATGGGATAGGTGCCGTGTTGCAGCAAGATGACGGCAATGGCTATCGACCCGTAGAGTTCATGTCCGCGAGGATGCCCTCAGAGAAGGTCGCTACCTCTACGTACGAGAGAGAACTCTACGCCCTCAGGCAGGCTCTAGGGCACTGGAAGCATTACCTGCTTGGGAGGCACTTCAAAGTGTACTCAGACCACGAAACGCTTAGATGGTTAAAGATCCAGGCCAAAATGACACCTAAGTTGACTAGGTGGGCCGCTGAAATAAACCAGTATGACTTTGAGCTCAAACCGGTCAAAGGCAAGAACAATATAGTTGCGGATGCTCTGAGTAGGAGATCAGACTACTTTGGAGCAATAGTTCACTATCTGGATATAGGGAGAGACCTGCAAGAGAAAGTTAGACAGGCATATGCGCAGGACCCTATCTATAGTGACCTCCTCAAGAGAGTCAAGGAGGCCCCAGAGACTGAGCCAGATTACCGCACTACAGAGGGTCTACTATTCGAGAAGACTAATGTGTTCGATCGCCTGTGCGTACCCAATAGCGAGGAGATTCGTAGTTTGATCCTAGGGGAATTCCACGATACTGAGGGACATTTCGGTTGACAGAAGACCTTAGCCAATCTGATGCGTGCGTATACCTGGCCAGGAATGAAAGCTGACTGCATAGAATATGTTCGCAGTTGCAAAGTTTGCAAGCAAAACAAGACCACTATGTGTGCCCCTCTAGGTCTTCTCAGACCCTTGCCTATTCCAGACCAGCCGGGATGCTGGTGTCAAGAGTAGACACGGCCAGAGCCAAGTCATGGTCATAGTTGACCGATTTAGCAAATATGTTGTTTTTGTTCCTTTGCCTGCAGAGGCACGTACGAAGTTAGTTATACGGAAGTTCTTTGATTTTTGGGTTAGTGAGAATGGAGTCCCGTTGTCAATAGTTAGCGATAGAGATAGTCGCTTCACCAGCCAGAACTGGCAAGAACTCCTGGGAGTCTATGGATCTAAGTTATTGCTGTCGTCTAGCCGCCATCCAGAGACCAACGGTCAGACCGCGCAAATGAACAAGATCCTACAACAAGTTCTGCGCATGTACATTACACCCGATCAGATCAACTGGGACGAGATGTTACCTAAGGTAGCTAGTGCGTACAATAACAGCGTGCATCTGTCCACCTGTCGCACTCCCAATGAGCTGCACAAGTCCTTTAGACCGCGCAGACCATTCGAAGGACTGAACCGGGATAAGATTCACAGGCTACCGCCCGGTACCAGGGAGTTTGCGATACAGCACGAGAGAGAGTTAGCTACAATTGTTGAAAACCTCAGGAAGGCCCAGCATCGAATGATAGAACAGGCAAATAAGCACCATCGCCTGTCTCAGTTTCAAGTAGGCGACTTAGTCTGGGTCAAGTCCAAAGAGTTTGCACCTGAGGAGAACATCTCGCAGAAGTTACTGCCTGCTTATAGAGGACCGTGGCCGGTTCTAGAAGTCAAGGGCGGAGAGGATGGACCGTCCTACACTATAGAGATTCCAGCACACCTCCATACCTACCCAATGTTCCATGCTTCGAAGCTATTGCCGTGTGTCACAGGTCAACAGTTCCCTTCAAGAAGATCCATGATCCCTCCGGACATGGATGGTAGATATGACATTGACGACATTGTAGAAGAAGACGTGTTCAGGACAGGAGGTAGAGGTCATCCTCAAAAACAGTATAAGGTCCGGTTTGCGTATCAGGAACCGGAAGACGACCGCTGGTTTACTAGGACATAACTTCTAGAAACAGCTCCCGACATAGTCAGAGCTTACAAGCGCGATAAGAAGGGTAAAGGTCCTGCCTTGGACTGAAATATTCTCGGAGGACCTCGAATTTAGGATGGCGGGAGTGAAACGGTTTTCACCTCTTTGCAGTAGCAGATGCAGATCCCAGGGCCCGATCCCTAGACCTCACCCTACTCGTGTACAGTACCTGTGTAAACCCCGAGAGTTGAACCTGTGACCTATGTATTCATAAACAGTGGGTAGGCTGTCCTAGGTCCGTAGGTGGTAGGGGTTCGATCTGTAGGTCTGTCAAATAGAAGTCTTAGCGAAGTCCAGAAGTCTTAGCTGTAGGCTTCTAGAAGGTCGGCAAGTGGGCAAGTGGTCAAGTGGTGAGCCAAGTGGTGGACCAAAACCGCAGTGCGATTGCAGTACGACCTCGGTGGGATAGCAGCGAGTCCCCGTTCAGTCAGCGGTCAGGTCCAGTCAGTCCCAGTCCAGTCCAGCAAGTACCACGAGGGACTGTGAGCACCATGGGCCGATGGCAAAGGGCAGACCAACGAGTTTCAGAAGTATAAATCAAGAGGCAGCGCCCAGCCATTCATTCATTCCTGCGTGAGCCATGCGGAAGCGCTGCCACAGCGACTTGTGCAAGGAGGTCTGCAGAGAGCCCAGAGCTGAAGTGGGCGAGAGAGGAGGGCGTAGCATAGCGATAGGGTAGTTGCGGCCATAGCCGCCATAGCTAGACTTAGTGTGTAGTGTGTGTATGTGTAGTGTGTGTATGTGTAGTGTGTGTATGTGTTGTGCGAGTCTGAGAGTCGCGTGTGGGATATCCAGGGTGATCCGGTGTATGTGAACAGTGAGTTGTTTGGGCGCTGAGTCGCCATAGCCAATTGAAAGTGAACTCGTATCTGGGTGCCATATCTCTGAGTATTGAGTGGGCACATGTCGCCAGTTTGCTGCGCTACTGTTTACATGCATGAAAAGTGTGAATGAAAGCGAGTCTGATTGCAGGTACCACAAAGTTCACTACATTGACCATAGTAAACTCCTTCTCGTTTGATAAAGATGGAAGTCTGATTTAAATGACCAGGTACGGCATCACATTTGACACCTAAGGAAGGTACTACCCAACTGTGAAGTACATCAGCAGATGTTACGATCCGTAGCAATTGGTCAAAAGCGTTCGACCGTAGCACAATTAGTCAAAATTCTTTCAGAAGTGAGTGCTTTAGAATATTCTATTATTGTGGCAGCCACTGCATCAGATCCTGCTCCTCTTCAATTTCTTGCTCCTTGTGCAGGTTGTGCTATGGGAGAATTTTTCCGAGACAATGGAATGCAAACTAATTATCTGTGATGATCTCAGTAAACAATCAGTAGCATATCAACAAATGTCATTATTGTTACGTCGACTGCCGCTGTCTCATAGTGCTGCCATGTCACTGTAATCACCGCCATACCCGCTTCGAAGCTTTTTTTATTTATATTTTTTCAAAGCACCCGGGCAATGTGTTTGCAGTGGGCATCACATCTTCATGACAGAATGCAGCCAACCACTACCCATGGTACCAGTTTCTTGAAAACATAAAGACCGATCTCTTCTCTCTAGTGGGCAACAGTTTGGTGGACTGTGCCTGGTACGAACAGGAATGATCGAGCGAGTGTACGAGTCAGAAAGCCTACCGTCTTCATCTGAATAAAACACCCGGTCCTTATCGCTGCATCTGGTCCCGAAGTTGCCCCAAATACAGCTATAATGACTGGGCGTTCTATGGAGGTGAAGACGGTAGCTTGATCACTAAGATTTGCAGCTAGCGGCCCTACAGAGGGCTGAAGAGGCGGGCTTTCCCCTTCAAAAGAACTGGCAGTCAATCCTCTGATACAGTCAGAGTAATCAATGCTGCAGTGTTATTTCCATGTGTATTCTAGAAATGTTTGTCTGGGACGCTGTGCCCGATTCCCAGCATGTGGCTCCCCAAGAACAGATCGGACCCTCCTCTAGGTCGGTACAACGGGGGTGTTTTACAGAGGTGTGTCTGGATGCTGCACACATAGTGATGTGCTACTCACGCACAACATGCAAGCATCAGCCCGATCACACTCGCTAACGTGTGTTGGCACCCATCTAACACACGTCAACCAAGGAGCACCATTGCGCCTAAACGGATGCACTGCCCTTCATCGGCACCTTGGTGGTCCCGTTGACGAAATGTTTCACAGAAGCAGCACTTGGCTTAGGACAGCTTGGGTTAGGCTAGGGGCGTGCCCCACTGAACTATGTCTAGGTCTTTGCCAGGGAAAAAATCGAATGGTAGCAATCAGCTGCTAAAAATCAATGTCGGAGAACGGAATCCTGTCCCAGTGGGGAATCCTGTCCCACTAAGGTCTTTGACATACCGCAGTGCAGTCTGTCCCTTACACTTGAGTGGAGCTGTTCTGTAACCCAGTGGGTCAGGACCTACCCTAGTATGATTTTTTGCAGCATCGTGACCCAGTGGGTCAAAATCCGCCCTAGTATGGTTAAGATTGTGTTAGCTCAAGGTCTCAATTACTGCTTGTCGATGAGTAAGCGAACTGATGCCGTTACCCATTGTTACCCCTCATTGCACATCATAGCACAAACATTAGGGAACAGTGGGGACCCTCCACCCTTGCCTAACTTCGATTTGCTGAGGATGTACTGCACCATGGCTGGTCCAAATTCAACGTGTTCCCAGCAATGCCACCATGGTAGCATACCCCTGGACTGGCATCGAAGTTTAACTCACTTAACCACACAAGTTCCACAACCCTAAGGAACCAGGCTGCTATTACAAACCTGGGTTCTCTCCCCCCCAACATCCTCCACGCACCCCAACCCCCCCACCCCCCTCTCCCTACCCACACTAACAGCAACACCAAAAAACTTTAAAAACACACACACCCTTAAATCACCAGTACCCCTTCTCCCTGTGTAGCGACCTATCTTTTCTATTGAAAACTCCTAAGACCTCTGTCCTGCCACACGTCTATCTGGCCTGTCTAACAATGCTGTGTTTATGTTGTCACTATAACCCTGCGATAGCACTGCCTCAAGAGAGGCAGAGGCCACCATGTGAGCTCCTCCTTGTTGGTCTTCCTGCAGCTTGCATATGAGTCTCAGGGTAGTGCCTTCTATGCTGCCCAACTTACCCATTCCTAGCCGATCCTTGATGAATTTGTCTATGATTACTTGGTCCTAGACACCATTGTTATATGGTGGCGGAGCCCAAAATCTGGTAAATGAAAGATACCCATTGGATTTCTTACCTGACTGTGCTGGTTCCTGCTGACCCTCCAGGTTTCCCCTGCTACAGAACCACCCAGAAACCTAGGCCAAGGCCCCACCCCTCTGGGCCCTATCACTCCGGGGCCGAGAGTGGTGTTTCTGTCAGTGGTTTTCTACTCACCATGACCATGCAATTGGGAATTTGGGAGCTACAGCTTGAGAGGATCGGCTTATAAGTTGGTGACGGTGGTATCTGAGACCTTACCTGTGGACACTTACCTGCAGTGTGTATCCGCAGGTAAATGTCCACAGTTAAGGTCCACTTATAAGTTGGTTAGGGTTGTATCTGAGACCTTACCTGTGGACACTTACCATGCAATAGGGTGGTTTAGCTAATGCTAAGTTGCTAACTGTCATCTTATTTTCTCTGTTCTACATTTTTTTGGTGTCACACACACACACACACACACATACACACACACACACGCACGCACACACACACACACACACCCACACAAACACACACCCACACACATTCACACACACACACACACACACACACACACACACACACACACACACACACGCACACACACACACACACACACTCTGCAGGTGAAGAGCTTTAAGACACCACCTGCACTAGTGAAGCTTGTTATGGAGGCAGTTTGCATCTTCCTGAACCGTCCGCCGACCAGAGTACGTGATGGGGGGAAAGCGGAAGGGAAAACTATTGATGACTACTGGGATGCCAGGTGAATTTTCTCCCTCACCCTCCTTCTCGGCACCTCTCAATTTCTCATCTACTTCTCTGCGCCACATTTTTTTTCTTCCATCACTTGCCTATTTTCCCCTCTCACTTTTCCACGCCCCCTCAATGACGTAGAAATGCATTTCCTATTCTGGGACTCCTCACCCCCAAGTTTCACCAACTACCAGTAAGTGAAAGACATTTCCAATTCTTTCATGAAGTTTAAGTTGTTTAACCCATCGGCTCTTGCTTTGAAGCCAGTGAAGCATGATTGCACTTTAAGGTTCAGAGTACAGGGTGTCAGGTTTGTAGTGTTTTTTTTTTTGGGTAGGGTTTGGGGTTTAGGTTTTACGGGTAGGGTTTAGGGTTTAGGGTTAGGGTTAGGGTTAGGGTTTAGGGTTTACTGAGTTTAGTTTTTAGGGTTTAGGGTTAGGGTTAAGGTTTAGGCCCTTAGGGTTTACTGGGGATTTGGGGTTATGGGTTTTGGGTTTTGGATTCTGGGTTTGTAGTAAAGAGTCACAATGTTCCATGTATGGATAGGTCCAGCAACTGCTGCTTTGCTTTTTTAGAGGAGGAGATTGAATCAGCTGTGCTGCACTTTCAAGGTATGCAGTTGTAAGCATGGTAACCGACCGGACGTCCGGACTGGGTTCCAGACAGTCCGGAACAACATGTCCGGTGTCCAGTCCTTATGTCCGGATGGAGGCCCCCAGGGCAAAAATTGAAAAAAATAAAGGGGTGGCCCAGGATGTTTTTCGGGGCCTGGCCGCCACTTGAAAAATAATGGGGTGATTTTTCAGTGTCATTTCAACCCACCGGACAGGGCATAGAGGTCTGGACACAAGACACTGCAGGTTCTTGGGGTGGGGGGTCTCACACAGGTTCAATGACTTGCTGATTCTGACTGCCGAGATTGACTGCGAGGCTGTACACTAACCGGTAGGGTTAGATTCGTAATTT